AAAGGGGCAGGGAAGACACTTGAAAGGGCAGCAGGAGCAACAAGTCAGGAGAAAAGCAGCCAACCCTGCCTGGATCCATCCCTGCAGCCCCTGGGCAGCCTGCCTCTCCGGGAAACCAGGAGGCGCTGAGAGAGGAAAAGAACATAAGAGCAGCCATACTGGGTCATACCAAAGGTCCATCCAGTCCAGTATCCTGTCTTCTGACAGTGGCCAATGCCAGGTGCCCCAGAGGGAGGAAACAGAACAGGGCATCATCAAGTGCTCCCTCTTCTGTCACCCATTCCCAGCCTCTGACAAACAGGCCAGAGACACCATTCCTACCCATCATGATTAATAGCCATTGATGGACCTCACCTCTATGAATGTATCTAGTTCTTTTTTGAACCCTGTTAAAATCCTGGTCTTCACAACATCCTCTGGCAAGGAGTTCCACAGGTAAACTTTGCATTGTGTGGAAATAATATTTGTTTGTTTTAAACCTGCTGCCTATTACTTATATTAGGTGACTCCTAGTTTACAGGTAAACTTTGCATTGTGTGGAAATAATATTTGTTTGTTTTAAACCTGCTGCCTATTACTTATATTTGGTGACTCCTAGTTTTTATGGGAACTAGTAAATAACTTTTCCTTATTCACTTCTACCAGACCTGGCTTGATAACATAGGCCTCTATCATAACCCTCCCCCCCTCCCCCAACTCTCCCCTTTTCTAAAATGAAAAGTTCAAGTCTTTTTAATCTCTCTTCATATGGGACCTTTTCCAAAACACTAATAATTTTTGTTGCCCTTTTCCAAACCTTTTCCAATGCTAATATATCTTTTTTGAGATGAGGTTACAACATCTGTACACACTAGTCAAGATGTGGGCGTCCCATGGTTTTCAATAGAGGCAATAAGATAGTTTCTGTCTTATTCTCTATCCCTTTTTCAATGATTCCTAACATTCTGTTTGCTTTTTTGGCTGCCGCTGCACATGGAGTGGATGTTTTCAGGGATGACTCCAATCTCTCTCTTAAGTCGTTGTAGTTAAATTAGCCCCCAGTTAACCTCTATTTGGGTGGGGGAGGGAACACTAGCTGGGGAGACACAACACTGGGGGGAGGGAGCACAGCCCAAAATGGCTCCTTAGATTCTGCTGTTTCCCCAGCTCGGAGCTCAGAGATGCTGCTACAGGTGGATTCAAAGGGGCTCGGTGGGTTTTGTCCTGATGGGAGGGGCCGGGCTGGGGGGAACAAACTAACTGGGTTTCTTCTCATAGGACCAAACCAGAGAGTCCCAGCGTGTGTCTGCAGGGGCAGGGCCTGGGGGGACTTGGGGTGCAACAGGGACTCAGGCCCCTTCTGACACCTCCCCCATCGCCCCTCTCGCCCGACAGGCTGAGGAGACACATCGAGAGTTCGCTCCAGAGCGCCCGTCTGCCAGGAGAGAGGGCCGGACAATGGCTGGGATGGAGCCCGCTCAGGTAGGGGTTTCAGGGAGCTGCTGGGCGGGGGAGGGAGGAGACAGGGTGGGATGAAGCCGCTGAGTTTCTGAGCAGGCCCATGGGCAGGGTGTGACCGCGCCCCCATTTCTAACCCAGGCCCCAGCCCCAATGCTGTGACCTGAGCTCCCAGCCAGAGGTTGCTGGGAAACACAAAGGGAAGCTGCCGGGATTCCTGTCCCTGCCTGTGGCTCAGAGCTCGGCTTCCGCCTCAGCCTCTGGCTAGTAGGTGTGTGGCCAGGGAGAAGGCCCTGCCCTCTGTCTGCTGAGGGGGAGGAGGACGAAGGATCTCTGTGCCCATCCCCTGAAGCCTCCTGGCTGCTTTAAACAGGCTGAGAATGGGTGTTGTGGCTGGGGGGG